AATTGTTGGTTATTGGAATTCATTCCGTATATACCAATTATATACTTTGATATATATATATATATATATATATATATATATACTTAAATTATATGAAAATTGAAACCATTTCGTGTACAGTTTGGCATAGTATGATTTTATCTATCTATCTATCTATCTATCTATCTATATATATATATATAAAGAAATATAGTCTTAAGGTGTGCTATATTTATGGGATAAAGTGCTCAATATCAGAGATAGAGCGTGTGTAAATATAAAAGTGAACATAGAAGTCAACACTTAGAGGCGACAGTCTGTTTCATGCTATATGCAATCGTCAGGCCACGTATAATATGTTATTTTTCTCGGCTATTTATATATATACGAGACAAAAAAAAAAAATAAAATAAAATAAAATAAAATAAAAAAATAAATAAAAACGAGCAATATAACTTGACCCAAATAAATGAACAAAGCGACTTCCGGTAAAAATAACCGCCATAATAGAATACCCACAATGCACCACTAACCCGTATATATGTTCACTTTTATATATATATATATATATATATATATATATATATGTGTGTGTGTGTGTGTGCATGATAACATATAGTTTTAAAAATATCCTATATTCACTGGTTAAAATGCTGAATATTAAAGAAGATAGAGCAATTTTAAATGTAAAATGCATATGGAAGTAAACCACCCACAGGCAGCAGTCTGTTTCCTGCTAAACGCAATCGTCAGATACATCAGAAAGGATTTAATTAAACTTGTTGATTCTATATAATGTTTTAGGTGTTTCCTTATGATGAGTAAGATATTTATTAGGATTCCTTGGAAGAAGAAACTCACTGAGAAGATTCAAGCGATTACCCAGAAGAAATGTGCGGGCGTTATCAACATCTTTGCATTCAGCAGTGAATTCAGCGGAACGGTGGACATCTGGACTTGATTTAACTTTTTTATTTTTAAGTGCCAGATCCTAAATGTTATCCTTTTCATTTATTTTTTTAATGTGGTTCTTTAATTTAGTAAACATTTTTTAATAATTAGTAACACCATATATATATATATATATATATATATATATATATATATATATATATATATATATATATATCAGACTAAGTAGGAGCAAAGAAATGACAAGATATATCACATTGTTGACAGGTTTCGTTCTATGTCTCTTTAATGACATTCTTCCTTCCTGCTTCTCGAATTGAAGCAGAACTCTAACAAGTTTTCCAGTATGTCCTTAAATTGCCCATATATATATATATATATATATATAATATATAAATATATATATATATATATATATATATATATATATATATATATATATATATATATTTTCATATATTTATGAATATTACTTTATCTTAGATAGATAGATAGATAGATAGATACTGTAGAAATGATATATCACCTAAAATAAAAGACAATATATCGCACATATTATTCAATGATGCAAAAAAGCGTCGATAAAATGTAATGAATTAAGACAGGGATCAGAGAATGGCAAAAGAAGGAATTCAAATATTTGGGAATGTGGGTACCAAAACAATGGCTTTATAAATTTCACACACACACACACACACACACACACACACACACATATATATATATATATATATATATATATATATATATATATATATATATGGTGTTTCATTTAGATTTATTATATATAAGGCTGTTTCGTTAGGACGGATCAAAATCCGCAGTAAATAAATCATTGTTATTCGTGAAAATCTATTTATTTCTCTATTGAATCATCTTATTTAAGTCGTAGCAATTATGTGTGAAAGATAATATCACCCAAATATCGGACAAATCTGAAAAAAAGGAAATATCATCACACGCATAAACTTAATTCCGATTTAAAATCGGTCCAATTTATTGGGACAACCTTTATATAAATAATATGCATTGTAATCTGTAAGAAAATTGGATTGACTACTAAAAAATCTATCAAATTGATTTGCTTGTGATGCGAAATATATTATAGAGTATGGATATAGATCATTATGAATATTTGCTAAGTATATAAAGGTTAACAATCTGTCGCATTTAAGTAAATATTACAGAAAGTTGCGCGAGAAAGTATATGAAAGATAAATACTCAACAATAATGTTTAGAAATTGTTATTGGACTATATAGAATACTGAAGAATATAATTGGGCAAAAGTTTAGATGCTTCCCGCCAAAAGTAAAACAACCAGAATTAGAACATAAATGCTACAGTAATAATGATTGTGGCTAATATTATATGCATTAAAATTATAAATGCTTTGAAAATTAGTCATGGTATCTGTTGTAACCTAGGGAAGGTTTCTGAATAAAATAATCACACGAAAATTTGTTATGAACGAAAATACTTAGGACACGAAAAAAGCGTATACGATTCGCCAGCGGCAAGTAGAATAAATCGTCAACTGCTAGAAGTGAGTCAAGTGAATTCCACAATGAATCTCTAACTGCAGACCAACATACAGTATTTACTATTGTATTTATGTGAATGGGGACATGCCCATTATCGTACGTAGGTATGTTTCAACACCCACTTTTACTCGGTACAGAGAAATTTTTTTTGTGGGCGGGGTGATGGTGGTGGTGGGGTACTTCCATCCTATTAGTATCTCTTCTTTTTCTTTTACTCCGTCACTTTCGGATTACTATCTCCGGCGATTTCTGAGGGATGTATACATCGAAAGTATAAAAAAAAATTTCCCATAGGTTGAACCTTGTCTAAACTAGTGTTCTCATTAGTTGAATACCTACTTTTAATTTGATTATCGTGCGTCTTGTGTAGCATTTCAGGACCTTTTACTAAATACGCCATCCTGCCAATAATTCGGACAACAGTTCCTACTACCCAATATGTTTTATTTGACTGTTACATACGGTAAAAAAACCTTTTGACCAATTTTATAAAAAAAATCAGGTTTTTGTACAGCATTATCATGATTTTTGTTATTGGGTATAAATTTGTCAAAAACTGATCGTATTTTTCGAGTAAACATAATTTCTGTTGGTGTCCTGGCCGAAGGCGCATTTCTATTCGATATAAGCCTTTACACCTGTAAACATATTATACTAGAAACACACCTATTCTATTTTTAATAGACTCTCCCACTTATAATAAGTAGTAGTAGTAGCAGTCGCCAGGGAGTTGAGTGAGTTGGTGAGTCAGTCGATGTCGGACATTAAAGTATCAGCCACCACAACTAGATCGGTGCGTCATTAACTATTATAACAAGTTCAAAAGATGTCACAAGCTGGAATCACCTCTATAAGCCGATATACTAAGTAATCTGACGGACAGATCTATTTTTGGGATATACAAACCGGATCACATCGTCAGAAAACGAACGTTTTAACCTCTCGCTCAGGCTATAAAAATGCCTTCTCATCAAAAAGATAAATTAAAAAATACGTAAGTTCCTAGGACAGAATTTTCTTTAACATCTTCCCTACTCAGTAGGTTTTCATTTTGATTCCTACAACATTGCATAAGTGGCAGAACAGTTAGAAACAATGTAGTTGAAAACTGTCTTTCAAACAGTTTTATCGAATTTATATTAATATGGCCTTTGGTTTCCCGTTATTCCGTTGTCACTGAATATGAAGGTGATTCTTCCTCTTCCATGTGCCGTATCCCTTAAGGTCGTGAGCGATCATAGATTTCTACAATTTCCGGTCCTTTGGAGCTCTTAATAAGTTGTGCTATTTTGCTATGGAGAGTGTGGAAAAGGGACTAAGCATACAATTCAAGAGAAACAGAATCCATGGTCAAAAGGATGAGCCCGAAATGCGATTTGCAGGTCGGGTGACACTAAAATCAAGCAGACGCGCAAGTTTAAATATCTGGGAAGCGTTCTGACAGCGGACGGTTAATACGGCACTCAGATCCGTAGACGTATTGGGATAGACAAGGACGCATTCCAAAAGCTGGACAGAGTATTACGAGAGAGGAGGAATTCTTGGTAACAAAGAAAAAATACTGAGCTGTTACATGACATCTTTCCTTCTTTACATCAACGAATGTTGGTCGATTTCCTCAAAGATAAAGAAGAGACTCGAGGCGACGGAGATGTGGTTCTACAGAAGGATGCTAAGGACATCATGGACCGAGCGGGTGAGCAACGATGAGGTTTAGAGAGGATACAGACAAAGAGGAAGCTTATACTTAACATCACGAAGAAGCAGCTGAATTTCCTGGGACGTATGAGGAAGGAGGTTGTTATGGCAATTTACCCACATTCACATGGACTCCCTCAGTTATAAATAGGAGCAGGTACTGCCTTTTACAGAGGGACGTTTCCAGAAGTCAACCCTGACAGTCGGACCGAACATTCTTGCTGTAACACTCTCGTTTGTATATATTTGTATTACTATTTCTGTTAATATATTTGTTTAACTCAGTTCCTCTCTTGTGTCTTTATTTCTGGCCCTAACAAGGCCACAACAGAGGGCCTGGAGTATCTGATACTCACGGGTCGAATAGAGGGAAAGAGAGACATGGGAAAACAACGCATGATATTAAGCGGCCTTAAGCAAGTGAATGACAGAACTTGGTTTGAGGGAGATAGCAGAGGGAAGGAAACAGTTGAGAGCCGGAAGGGATAGAAAGAGGTGGAGAGCCATGATCGACTACGTCCTGAAAGAACACGGCACATAGAAAGAAAGAAATGTTTCGACCTCTCCTAATCCCTTTACTGACAGCCATTTAAATGAGCTCGTTAGGTAGATTACTCGCGGCTTTCCTCAGTCCCCTTTGCCTTCAGTATTTCTGATGAAAATCATATTTTCTAAGTCATCTTTCCTCACTATGCGTCCTATAAATGTAAACTGTCTCTTTTTGCTTCTATATAGAAGCACCATTATTTCATTTTTTCCTAAAACTTCGTATTTCTTACATGCTCTTTCGGGATTCGCAGCATCGTTCTGTAGAACTACATTTCTATTGGTTCGGTTTAGTTCTTTATCTGTGACGAGATTGTCCAATATTTACTGTCCTATCACGACCACGGTGTCGAGTACTGTAACTCATTACTGCAGCAAGGGCACCGCATGTACTGCAACTGCAGTAGAGTTGGGTTCCTTGAGCAAGAGAGCCTCGTGGTGTCCAATCCTCTCCAGGCCGGTTTGAATTCAGAGTTTTCCTTCTCCTAGATTGGTAACTCACTCTGTCCTGCTACTTACCGA